ATTGCACAATCGCGATCTTAAAGGCAAATACTACTCCAAGAATTAAGGCGCAGGGGGTAGCATGCTTTCTAAACGTTATTAAAAAACACGCGTGGTAAAAAGGAAAAAATTCCGGAACTTCTAGGGGAATTTCCGCACTATTTCAGTGCTTCCGGACCGCCTTTAAAAAATCAGCACTACTTCCGGAAATTTCAGACTAGTAGACACCGTGTACTTTTATCATGTACGATTGAGAAGTTTCAAGTTCAAAAGTCAATGTAAGATAACGCACATCATGTATAATAGCCTTACCCATCAAAATAATTTCGTAAGGTCTCTTCTTATTGCGAAATTTCGTTTACACTTTGGTAATTTGATTAGGATGCAAGATTCTTTCCTCACGATGAACTGAATAACATTTGGCATCTAGGAACTATAATTTCTAGTTCAATTAAGAGGCGAAGTATGTATATACATAGGCTGTCCCAAAACAACTGGCACTAAGGCTGCCATTCGGAAACTACAATAGATATCGACATGCGGTTTCAGGGAGATGATAGCACATACGCTTAGCTCTTAAACGAGCCTAAGTTGAGCTAGTTTGGTTAAAAACTCAACGAGTTACATCAATTTTCCCGAGACATAGGAGAAATACCCCTACGGGATTTTTCGATAATTTTTCATTCCGTTAACTTTGCCCCCGCAAGTTGTGCGATTGGTTCTAACGTTATGAATCAAGTTTCCACTTGTTTGGATGCAAGTTTGAACTTTTCAGCAAGTGTTTCCATCACAGCCGAGAAGTTCTTTTCTGTTCGCAAAGTCAGTTTAGTGAAATTGTACGGCCTGATAATGCGTTTTTTTTTGTGTTTCGTCATGAGCTCACCCAAGGAGTTGAGGCAAGAGCAACGATACACAATTCGATATTGCGTTCCTCGTGAATTATCTGCTTCTGAAACACTTCTGAGCCACTGTCATTTCATTCACAGTTTTAGAAGCAGATAATTTACGACGAACGCAATATCGAATTGTGTATCGTTGCTCTTGCCTCAACTCCTTGGGTGAACTCATAACGAAACACAAAAAAAACGCATTATCAGGCCGTACAATTTCAATAAACTGACTTTCCAAACAGAAAAGAACTTCTCGGCTGTGATGGAAACACTTGCTGAAAAGTTCAAACTTGCATCCAAACAAGTGGAAACTTGATTCATAACGTTAGAACCAATCGCACAACTTGCGGAGGCAAAGTTAACGGAATGAAAAATTATCGAAAAATTCCGTAGGGGTATTTCTCACACGTCTCGGGAAAATTGATGTAACTCGTTTAGTTTTTAACCAAACTAGCTCAACTTAGGCTCGTTTAAGAGCTAAGAGTATGTGCTATCATATCCTTGAAACCGCATGTCGATATCTATTGTAGTTTCCGAATGGCAGCCTTAGTGCCAATTGTTTTTGGACAGCCTATGTACCATTAGCGTTCCTACGCACAAGAGTTATTAGGGATGAGCCAAAAACTGTGGCTCCTAATTTCTAAAACAAGATTATCCGGGTTTCGGCTACTCATAATGCGAAAACAAAGGTTGAGCTATTAGCCAACTTCACAAATATATGCAATGATTGCGACGCAGGTCATGATTTAATAAAAAAACACTGTGCAAGAGGATGTCAATATATATATATGCAATTTTACCTTAAAATGGCGGACACAAAAACGTTTCGACCAACACTTTGGTCTTCAAAGAAAATACATATATTTGGAAAGTCGGCTAATAGCTCAACCTTTGTTTTCTAATTTCTAAATGTAGTCAAATTAATGTATGAATTCTTAAAAAAAAAATAATAATAATAATAAAAAATAATTAAATGCATGAATATGTGCATTATGAGCATAGATTATTAGCCATATCTAATGATAAGCATTGATATGAGCTTCAAGTCAAACTGTCTTGAGACTGTCATAATAAAGTATTTAGTTTTTATGGTTAAGTCATCGATGAAACTTGTTGGTTGTCTGATCTGGTGAGCTGGCGGATTTAGATGGGACCAGCAAGTAGTTTTAGCGGAAACGATTGAAATTACAGAATTCAGGCAGTTCATTGCCGAATGTCCAATGCTTTATTTTTTCTACGAGTCAATGTTCAAAGCAAAGTTAATCACATACTCCCACAATAACCGTATTCATTTCCTGCAAATGTATTCTAGCTTGACCTTTTACATATATGTACTTTTTTGGAGACATAAGTGGCAATATGTTCCAAGAAAATTGTTACTTGTGTTACTACGAGTAAAGTTGAGGAACAAAAAACAAGTAATTAATCGAGGGATAAGACGTTTAAGTCCTCGCAACAATTAAACTTAAAGATTATGACTGAATAAAATTAATAATTTTTCTTTATAGAAAACGTATGGAAGCAGGAACTTAAATACAGAGAGAAACAGTATCTTGAATATTGCGTTATCTTTGGCCCTTCAGCTGCACTGGTAAGAAAAATCTCTTGGACCCATGCCGCGGTGCATTGACTTAAGAGTGCATGCAGTTTCTTGTCGCCGGATTTAAGAGTATTGAACTCTTGTTTCAAGCGGATTTTGCATCGATTCAAGCGGATTTTGCATCGATTCAAGCGGATTTTGCATTGATTCAAGCGGATTTTGCATTGAAACAAGAGTCCAGACTCTTAAATCCGGCGACAAGAAACTGCACTCTTGAACCGAGAGGTTTTTTTTTTACCAGTGTGGGCAAATTGAGTCCAGTACTCTTGCAAATCGGAAAGGGCTCCTTTCTTTAAGAACGGTAGGAGGTTTTGATGTACGTGCAAAGGTAACCGAGCAATTTGTTTACGGTGAAAAACTAAAGCTTCACTTGCATTTGCGAAACATTCACAGATCAAGCCTTGTGCAGTCATGCGCGGAGTGTGTGCTACATGGCTGAGAGCTTGGACGTGCGGACGGCAAAGTGGGGCGTGCCCTGCGCTAGAAGATGCTTGAGTGACGTCACCGGAAGAAAACGACCGAGCTGGATGCGAAGAGCCGCCGGTCCTCTGTCTGTTCCTCTCGGCCAACATACACCCGACAGGTACAAAGAAAGTTCTTCATCGGGGTGTATACCAGTTATAAAAAACCAGAATGGACCACTAGACAAGGTACGAATTTAGGCATTCTGATACACGTCTCTTAACCAGAATTTTACGTACAACACGATTCGCACAACGAAAATTACTAGTGGTCTAGTGGTCCATTCTAAGCCTGCGGGCTGATCTTTGTAATTGATGGTCAAAGCGATGGACAAATAGAAGACACAGGGAGTCCGAAGCGATCCAATTAGTTTAAATGGGTGGCTCTCATAAACTTTAAGAAGGTAATTGATGGAGTAACTAAAGAAAACTATACTCTAGTGGGTTGCCGTTTGTCAGTCTATTACCTACCATCTTTGCCCATTGCAACCACCCGCTACCACCAATAGCTTTAGTTCCCTTCTATCTCCTTTGTCTGTAGCCTTGTCCATCAATGGACTATAGACAAGGTACGAATTTAAGCAATCTGATACATGTTTCTGAACCAGAATTTCACGTAAAACACGATTTACACAGCAACAATTACTGAAACCAACTCCTAACGGAGATATTAACATTTTTATTTCACATTGGTTACGAGGAATTCGAACTGCCCGCTCACAAGAAACTCAAAGCTCTACGTGAGTCAAAGCGCGCACTACAACGGTTTCAGCAATCTTTTCAATCGAGCAGTGTTCATTTCCCACCATGTGTTGTTCACACTATAAGCAATTTGCTGCAGCTGAGCTAAAGCGTCAAGATCGAGGTTGCCAGATTTTTATATCGCAGAGACTGTCATGATAACGTTTAGCGCGCGATGTGAATCACGTAGAGCATTGAGTTTGCCTGAGCGGGTGGTTTGAATTCACGCACCAAGAATCATTAAATATCTTGGGAAGGAGTTGATTTCGGTAATTTTTGTTGTGCGCATCGTGTTTTACGTGAAATTTTGAAGAAGAAACATGTATCGGAATGCTGAATCGTACCTTGTCTAGTGGTCCATCGGGGACTTTTAGGGATGTTTGTTCACGAAAATCGAGGACTTTTTTCCCGAAATGGTGAGAAAGAGGGGGCTCACTGCTTAAAATCAAATGATTTACTCTGAGTGAATGAGTGAATAGATCAGGGCGTGAATATAACAAACGACGGACGAATTGGATCGCATTTTGCAGAAAGGAACCAGCGCGACAACAGTGTTGTAAAATTGTTGCTTCTTCATAGCTACCTAAAAAAACTCCCAGAATAGCAAATAGTCTTGGTTTCCCATCAGATTTTTTTTAATTTTAAAGAGAAAGTAACTGTGTACATTTTAATACTGCGTACATATATTAAAAATGTTCAAAAGAGGAGGAAAAGTTGCGCGATTTTGAACTGTAACCGCGCTGGTCCCTTTTTGCTTAATGCAATCCAATAAGTTGAGCTCCCTCAATTAGTAGCGTGTATTGAGGTACACATGACACGAGTGTCGAATAGCCAAGTGGTAGCTCACTCGCCTCTCACCGCCGCGCCGCGACCCTACTTCAAATCCATGCCGCGACAGTTCCGTTTTACAATGGAGATGTTGCATGGGTGAGGAAGTTGCGATTTGACCGTTGAATCTTATGTAAAAGTGTTGATTCTTGTGTAAAAGTTCGCGAGAAACACGATGGTGCTACTGATTTTATCTGAAATCAACTCCCAAGCTCAAAAAAAGCTCTCAAGTTGAGGCCAAAATGGAGGGGATACCCCACGCTATCCTGAGAGTCCACCTCTACATCAAGTCAAACTCTCCATGCGAAGATAGGGAGCAAATACATTGACAGGGCTGCCACTTTGTTTGGGGACTCTTAAACTGAAAGCACGGAAACCCTGCTAACATATTTGCTCCTTATCTTTGCATGGAGAGTTTGTCTTGATGTAGGCGAGGACTCTCAGGATAGCGTGGGATATCCCTCCATTTTGGCCTCTACTTGAGAGCTCTTTTGAGCTTGGGAGTTGATTTCAGAGAAAACCAGTGGCACCATCGTGTTTCTCGCGAACTTTTACATAAAAATCAACAGTCAAATCGCAAATTCCTTACACATGCAACATCTCCATTGCCTGTTAGATTTTCACTCCCACCATAGCGCGAATTTCGCGAAAAAGGGTATTGGGCAAGAGCCTAAGGTACTCTGCTGTCCACAGAAAGAAACGCCGTGACTCCATTCAAAATTTCGTCTTCATCTTCCAAACATACATCTCTCTCAAAAGGAAAAATCCAATCGGCACAAAACTTCATTTTTCATTTTGACCTCCAAATGGTATCCTCTGGATCGACTTCAAAAAGTGAGGGATGGACACTTGTTAGTTGTCCCATTTAACATCATCTTGTCTGAAAAAATGTCGAATGGAGGTACGGCGCACAGTCGATCGAGTCAATATCAGAGGTCGGACAAAATGTGGAAACTTTAAACGATTTTAACTCCGTCCATACTAAACTTTCAGGTTTTAAAAGTGTTTCCATTGGTTTCCTCGTGAAATTTTCTTTCAGAAACACCCCTTGAGGTTTAAAATGTGACGAATCAAAAATCAAAATTTGCAGTTTTGGTCAAAAATTTTACGTCCGACCTCCGTAACTGACTCGATCCACTGAGTGTTGTCTTTACTTTGGACGGCGCACAGTGCATCGAGTCAATTGGAGAGCTCGGACATAAAATTTTTGACCAAAACTGCAAATTTTGATATTTGATTCGTCACATTTTAAAACTCAAGGGGTGGTTCCGAACGAAAATTTTACGAGGAAACCAATGGAAACACTTTTAAAACCTCAAAGTTTTGTATGAACGGAGTTTTAAGCGTTTAAAGTTTCCAAATTTTGTCCGAACTCTCCCATTGACTCGATCCATTGTGCGGCAGTACAGTCATCCAGTCATTACTAAATTGGGTATATAAACGCCATGCCTATATAAACAGTTTACACCTAGCAAATATAAGATGACCATTGGCAAGGCGTGAGTGATCGATTATCGATATTTTGATATTTGAAGCTATGGTAAAGAAAGCTGTGTGTTCGTTGCGAATACCCTGCTTATCGATCCTTTTCCATAGGTTTAAATAGGAAGTCAATCGATAGGTATATCGCAAAGCACGCCACGCCACTGAAGATGACTGTTCTTGTCTGCAGGAAAAATCTTGGATCTCTGAGAGTAAAAAGGTCCACTTGTGCCGGGATACCAGAGGAAAGTCTCAATGTGTCTTTGACCACGTATAAATACAGTATCTAGGCAAGAACATCCGTTTTCCCCGTATTCCTATTTCTATCCTTTCCGCTGTGTTCCCCTTCTGAACTTAGAGGGGCCTCTGGGGAAATATTTGCGAGAAAGTCTGAGAATAAAAAGTTCGTTTTCTTATGTTGGCAGCGTTTCAGGCACTTACTGCGTGAATGACGCGGAGGCACCGTACTGCCAACGNGCAAGACGCAGCAGAAATGGAGATTGAGGTTAGCTATACTTGGGCTCCCACCCCCCTCCTGCCTTCAAAAACCGGCCCTTGCGCGTTACGCAGGTTTGCTATCTCGCGGCCATTCTAGAGGTGTAGTTCGTTGGTTTTCCCCGTTATCCTATTTCTATCCTTTCCGCTGTGTTCCCCTTCTGAACTTAGAGGGGCCTCTGGGGAAATTTTGGCGAGAAAGTCTGAGAATAAAAAGTTCGTTTTCTTATGTTGGCAGCGTTTCAGGCACTTACTGCGTGAATGACGCGGAGGCACCGTACTGCCAACGTGAGCCCGGTGGGAGAGGCAGCCCTCACTGCTGCCAACCTTATCAACCTGAACCGGCCTTCCCTCTGGACACGGCTGCATCTGACCAACCCCGACACTGAAGCCAGCGACAGGATAAAGATTGGATTATTCACAGTCGGAAATATTAGTCGTGCTTGCACAATCAATTTGCCTCCGGGTACCAATTGTAAAAACCAAAAGCTGGAAGTACAAACGATTACGTGCTAGAGCGAGAATTTCAAAAGAATCCAAACAATATTACTGGGTCATTTCAAGGATTTGGACGCACACAAAGGATCAGCATCAGCTTCAGTTGAATTAATTTCAAGTTCAATTGCGATTCTTTGAGAGAAGAAAAGTGTAGATTTCAAAAAACCTGACTTGATTTTTAAAATGAAGTAGATAACCGATAACCCACGAGAAGACAACTGACATATTTTCAGTTGCGTTCATGAGTTTTGGTTCGAATAAAATGCACAAAATGTTGAAGGTACATTTCGTTTGATACGAATAACGACTTGGTGAGAGATAGAATACAACTATGAAGATTAACAATTGTCTACATGTTTTCCAAGGGTAACGTGTCCCAATGTTACAAACGCATCTGGAAGGAATTCTGCACATTTAGGACGCTTTCTTTTGTTATTTTAGGAGGTACAAAATGTAGTTCTGATGAGGTCAACTGGCAAATAAATAGAAACCTCGTTCAGATTCCGAGCGCATTTCTATTGCGAAGCACCAACTTGAATAATTAGACTCGACTCCTCAGATTTAAATGGACCACTAGACAATGTATGTACATTATTTAAGCATTCCAATACATGTTTCTTGACCAGAATTTCACGTAAAACACGATTCACGCAACGAAAATTACTGAAACTAACCTCTAACGAAGATATTAACGTTTTAATTTCACATTGGTCACGAGGAATTTGAACTGCCCGCTCACAAGAGACTCAAAGCTCTACGTGAGTCAAAATCGCGCACTACAGCGGTTTCAGTAAGCTTCTCAATCTAGCAATGTTCATTTCCCTCCATGTGTTGTTCAAACTACATATAAGCAATTTGCTATAGCTGAGCCAAAGCGTTAAGAATGAGGTCGACGGATTTTTATATCTCAGAGACTGTCATGATAACGCTTAGCGCGCGATGTGAGTCACGTAGAGCATTAAGTTTTCATGAGCGGGTGGTTTGAATTCACGCATCAAGAATCATTAAATATCTTCGCAAGGAGTCGATTTCGGTCACTTTTGTTGTGCGCATCGTGTTTTACGTGAAATTTTCGTTAAGAGAAATGTATCAGAATGCTGAAATTCGTGCCTTGTCTAGTGGTCCATTATGGATATATTGGATATTTTATTTCGTACGAATATTAGTGTATGATGGATATTTACGAATAATCCCAAGTCTGTTGAACATTCAGTGGCAATGAGTTACCTAAGTTGGGCTACTCTCAGTGCAATTACTCAGAGGCCTACATATTTTACTCGTAGAAAATATGAACTAAATCAGAAGGCTTACTTATAATTGGCAAAGTTGTAGCGCTTGGATTTTTTTTTTTTTTTTTTTTTTTTTTTTTTTTGTTCAGCTCGAAAATGATCTATACAATAACTGGCGTGGCTCCTAATACGCTAGAGAGAGGATTTCAAGCGCCCAACAGGAGCCATTAGGATGATTGACATCTTTCTTTATTGGACTTCCGTTCAAAAATCCGATTGAACATCTGTTTTACAAATTATGTTTACCGATTACCCCTTCTGTTTCATTAATTGGTTCAACGACTTTGGATTGCAATTTTTCAAATCCGAGGGGTAGATGAAAAAAAGGAGCGTTTGTGATCTCGAAAATTTAAACGAAATTAAGAGTTTATAGTATTTATGTATGAGAAATAAAGTTTTTAAAAAAATTGATTTCATGTAACATTAATTTTTAAGTAAGTATTCAAATAAAGTTATCTCATTTAAGCTAGTAGCCTCATTGTCTTACTCTGGCCGTCGGCTGTTAGCATGCGATGCCTCTCAAATCAGTCAAATCGAGCAGTTCAGGTGAATCTTCAGCTGTAGTTCCGAAATAATTCACCACGTCCTGCTTCCAAAATCTGGCCCCAGAACCCGTGATTATTTGAAAATTACGACACATGTATTAAATTCTAAGACTCATAAGTTCTGACAGCATATGTCTGGAATGTTTAAAACCAAACATGAGCTTTGGAAGGTTAAAACCGCAACAACCGATGCCTGTAAGTGCAAGAGAGAGAGAGAGTAGAGAGTTCATGGTGGGAGAGAGATATCTGCAACGGCTGAGAGAGATGAGAGATAACTGGATTGCATTTTGCAAAAAGGAACCACTAGCATTGCAATGATGCTAAGATTGTGCAACTTCATCCTTTGCAATAAAATTGCGGAAATCGTGAAAAACTATGAAATTTAGATGGTAATTTTTGTCTTAAACTTACAGTTTTTAGCGAGTAAAATAGAAACTATGAATGGATAATCGGGGTTTTCCTCCAAGACAAAAGAAGTTGCACAATCTTAGCAACATTGCAATGCTAGTGGTTCCTTTTTGCAAAATGCAATCCAACTAAGAATTGGTCGCATCAAGGTTATTTTGCTTAACCCGCGTGAGGGTTATTTTTGTATTGTGGTGCAATTTTTGGAGAATTTAGCTCAGAAAACAATGGAAAGACTAAAGAAATGCATTCTTTCAATTGCAAAGTCGGTACTCACCACTCGTTTTTTATTTTATATATATATATATATATATATATATATATATATATATATATATATATATAAGAGTCGCTTTTATAGCGCTCTTTGGCGCTGTGCGACGCCTAATCGCCACAAAGCTCGGTCTTCCCACAGGTCATCAGGTCATCAATCTCTTATCTTTTTTATTACATTTCCTAAAGAAAACTAGCTGGCATTTCCTCTTGAAATTTTCAACCGAAGTGTAATGTTACTTGGATGGGCCTCTGTAGGGTGCCCTTGCTCCAAGACGAAGGGGAAGAGGATGAAAACACGAAACACAAAAATATAAGGGATGAACTCTGTACTTCAACGTGAGAAAAGTGGAGGAGCCAGCCGAGGCCTGGCCTCCATAAGAGGTACAATCGAACTCTATCCGCTGCTGAACTGTAACTAACTCTAAAACTAGACTAGTCCTGAAGAAATGATGAAGAGAAAGTCCTGATGGTTGAGGGTGACAAAGCCGGACTCCGCGCAGGGTGATTAGATAGAAAGAGCAGAGTCCGGTGATATGACGTAAGAAGAGAAAGCATGCGAATAGGTGGAATGTCCTGAGACCGGATATGAGGTATAAATGTAAGAGTGTAAGTGATGATGGAAGATAGGTATAGATAGATATAGGTATAGATAGATATAGGTATAGATAGATATAGGTATAGATAGATATAGGTATAGATAGATATAGGTATAGATAGATATAGGCATGTTGGGGCACACAACAGAAGGCTAGGATTATTTGGTGTTTTATTTCCCGTATTAACCAAATTTTTGGGTTGCAATTTCCCTCTACGTGATGACAAGGTGCGCATTCAAGGTAAGCGAAACGAGGGAATGGTGCTCTTTCGGTAAACCGCCCTGCCAAGGAAGAGCACGCACGAAACATATAAGAAAAATATAGGTTTTCACTGTGTAAAGCTGTTTTATTTTTTGTCATTCTTACTCTACGCGTTTAGGTTCGAAGAAAGAACATCATGTCAAAATTATAACAGGTAGCTGGACACTCAACCCAATGTTTTCACCCGACACCTAATTTGGCCACTTAATTCAATCCAAGTCATACTTTGGCTGTGTTGCTCACGTCGCACAGTGGATCGAGTCAATTGGAGAGGTCGGACATAAAATTTTCGACTAAAACTGTAAATTTTGATGTTAAATTCGTTACTTTGTAAACTTTAAGGATTGATGCTAGGAGACAATTTTACGAGAAAACCAATGAAAGCTCTTTGAATAAAACCTCAAAGTTTTGTATAAACGGAGTTATAGGCGTTTAAAGTTTCCAAATTTTGTCCGACCTCTCCCATTGACTCGATCCGTTGTGCGTCGTCCTTAAAGCTCCGCTACAAAAAAACAAAAAAAGACAAACGGAACCGACACAACATGGAAATGGAGTAAGAGAAGGACTCGCTTTGATAACGGCGCAGAGATACAACTATTCGTGTTTCGATGAAAGTCCGTGTTGTATCTGCAAAATTGAAGGCGCGATGCACGAACTCGCAATGCTCCGCTCTATGCCGTCAATAAAACATCACTCGATTCGGGAGAAATGGTTAAAAAACAAAACCCGATTACATCTCTCCCATCTTCGGCTGTTTTGCTAACGTAGCCTCTGAAGCACCACTACAAATAAGACAGACGGAACCAACACAACATGGGAACAGAGCAAGGGAAAGGTCGCGCGTTGATGACGGCGCAGGGATACAACTATTCGTGCTTGATGGATGTCCGTATTGCATCTGAAAAATTGAAGGCGCTACGGCGCCCGGCGCGAGCTCGCGATGCTCCGTTCTATGCTGCCAACCAATGATTCGTCACTTTGGTTCGGGAGAAAACTTATAAAAACCAGACCCAGAAACGTCTTTTCTATCTTCGGTTGTGTTGATATTTAATTTTTTACTTTTTTCAATTTGATGTTTTATTTTTTTTATTTAAGATGTATTTGTAGACCAGGATGTCTACTAAAATAGGCTGGCCATAAATCAGAGCTTTTACAGTGCTTTTTCAGTACATTCCCAGAAAATTCAGTACCTCCTCGACAGAAAAATTCAGTACTTTTTCAGTGCCTCCAATTGACGAAATTCGGCAAATTTCAAAAATTTGGATTTCCCGCTCAAATTGCAACAGAAATGACAACAAAAAATGAACAAATTCCGGACATCCTTGCAAAATTCCGCACTTTTTCATTACTTTCGAACCGCCCTTAAAAAATCAGTACTATTTCCGTAATTCCGGAAATTCTGGACTTGTAGATACCCTGTAGACCTACATCTCGGTTCAGAACCTGCGAAGTACGTGTTTTCAGCGATCCTTGGGTTAATTTGATCCGGCTTGGGCATCTAAGGGTTACATCTTATCATTTCGCAAAATCTCAGCAGTTATACCATTGGTTATAACTGGACTAAGTAAAATATTGTGGTTCACAGAGCATTGCACGCAAAAAAAACTATTGGACTAACTTTATAAGGGGACAGTGAAAAATTTGGATCAAACTAAATTGGGTAAAATGTCCGGCCAGCATCACAATTCAATAACACAGTTGTAATGATCGTTGGATCGTTGGAGATCAGTTCCATACCTCTGATGATCATTTGGACATCAAGATGACGTTTCAATTTTACTGGAGTTGGTATGCCAAGAAATGTGAGTGGACCAATATCGGAATCTAATAATACAAGGTGGCAAGTTTTCTTAAATGACAAAACGTCTTGAATTTTTGGGTTTTATGACATAGGATTCCTTAAATCTTCAATTTTTTGGGGTTTTTTTTTCTTCTTTTTAAATAAAAATGCTTCTCACAGAATATTTCTTTTAGCGAGAATTCTCTTTTCATTTACATTCATAAATAATTCAATAACTCAACATCAGATGGTCTAAATTTCGCTAAAATAGTGTGTAAGTGCAACAGAAAATATTGGTACACATTTTGATTGGAGGAGAGCATTTTAAGGTTCAGGAGCGACATTCACTGAATTTTCAGGGCTGGGCAAAACTTCCTGACTTTTCAACGTTTGCAAAGTCTCCTTAAAAACTGAGTAATATGACCGAGTCGAAAACTTGTTTCAAACTTCCATAAACGAGACTGCTAAACAAGACTGCTGAACAAGGCTTCTATAATTAAGATTGCGCTAAACAAGACTTCTATAAACAACAAGCAACACAACTGAGCGTTCCGTTGATTTTGGGTGCTACAATAGGAGAACAGCATATGCGCGTTGACCTTTACTTCCGAGTTTCCTGGGATTCGACACCACAGGTGCTTCGTAACTCGAGAGTGATTAGAGCGAAGGTGGTGAAGGTCAAGTTACCTCGGCAACCAGCAGCAAGGCGTAAATCATGGACTACCGATATTTTTCCATTTGAAACCATGGCGAAGAATCGATCATTAAGGTATGCTCTGATAATCGATCCTTTTTCATGGGGTTTGATGAAAGATAAATCGATTTATCGCAAAGCACAGGCGGTCCAAAGACCGCGGCCTGCGCGGAGGCTGCGGATTCACCCGGCGCACAGTGGATCGAGTCAATGAAAAAGGTCGGACATGAAATTTTTTACTAAAACTGCAAATTTTGATGTTTATTTCGTCACATTTTTAATTACAAGGGATGGTTTCGAAAGAAAATTTCACGAGGAAACCAATGAGACCTCTTTTAAAATCTCAAAGTTTTATTTAAACGGAGTTATAAGCGTTTAAAGTTTCAAGATTTTGTCCGACCTCTCCTATTGACTCGATCCACAGTGCGGCGGTGCGACACGACAGGAAAGAACGACAAAATATTACGGTGACGCAATTCACTTTCACCCTGGGCCGAACATACTCTGCCGTGTTGCGGAAAAGAGCCTAAGTGAATTCTGGGATGGGCCTCGAGACACATAGGAGCATGCGTTAACCATGGCTCATACAGAAATGTGTTGTTTAGAGTAAAAATAACAAAAAGGATAATTGATAATTTGCAACCATGTGAGAGAAGGTGAAACTCCCTGGGATTGTGCTCTGGCTGAAAAATACCTACACAAGTGAGATAAAACAACATTGAATTAATAAGATGAAGAAAGAAAGCAGTATGAAATAAAACACCCTTTATCAGTGAGGAAAGGTATTTTTCAGCTGGAGACACAAAACCGGGAGCTTCACCTTCTCGATGAGTGGATTCAGACTCACGTCCAGCCATGTTAGTTCTTAGTTCATCAGTCTCTCTCGAATGAGCACCATGTCGGTTTTTTCCGCAATAAAATCTCATTCATTTTCACGCAATTAATTTTGGTTGACGTTATTTTCGTCAAAAACGACAG